CCTAAAAAGGTATGTGTTCAAAAGAATTTTTTATAAGGAAAAAATGTTGACTTTTCTCTACAAAAGCTCAGAGATAACTCACTTTCAAAACTTCATCTCCCAAACAGAAAAACGTGACAGAAATAAGGAACAATCCCCCTTTTTAACCACTATTAGAATGTCATGTCACATTGCCCCTTTCAAAAGCATTAAAATTAAGAGTATATACATATATGTACTGCTTATATACATATTTAAGATACTTTCCAAAATCAAGACACGCTTAGGAAAAAGTTTTAATCTTCCTGTTATGCCTTAGTTTGTAAATTCAGTAGACACATTGCATTTTCTAGATCACATTTGCTATAGTGTGCATTTATAAGATATCTAACTAATGTACCATTGTGGTCAGCAGCATCTTGAATGAGTAATAAAAGGTCATGAACAAGGACGGAACCAAATGATGTACACAGCGTAATTTCACCATTCAATTTTCACATAAAGTGAGTTTTTATCTATACTGAAAAAATTATGAGCTAAAGCCCATGAGTTTCTCTGCAGCTCCATGTGTTGCAAGCAGAAAAATAGCTGATACATTGCTGTAAAAGGAGGAAACAATAGGAGGACAAGCAAAGGTTTAGAGAAAAAGAGAAGAGGTTAATAGGTTAAAAATTGTATTTAATGGTGAGAATATTCTTGGTAAAAAAGTTGGCAGTAATAGTTGGTGGATTTTTTTTTTTAAGGTGTTCAACCTAAAAAGGCAGTAAAATAATTAACATTTTCCACTGGAATTACACAAGGGTGAGGTATAAGAGAATGCTTTACAGGAGCAATAATTTATGCACAAGTGTCTTAAAGTATGTCTACACTGCAATAAAACATGTGATTGGCCTGGTTCACGGGGCATGGGCTGCAGTGCTATAAAATTGCAGTGTAGATGTTTGGGCTTAGACTGGACCCCGCAAGTCGGGAGGGTCAGAGGCTGGGCCAGCGGCTGGGCCAACAATGGGTATTTTACTGCAGTATAGAACAATATCCATGTGGTTCACAGAATGATTAAAATGCACTAGTGAAAGAAGAGAAGATCACTCACCACGTGCGGTAACTATAGCTCTTTGAAATGTGTCCTCCCTATGGGTGCCCCCACTCTAGGTGAGCTTTCGCCCAATGGGTAGGTAGCAGTGTCTGTTCAGCCCATGCACGCACCCCCTGCAGTCTTGTGCCCTGCACGAGTCTATGTAGAGTTGCATAGGCAAACCTCCCTCATTGCCTTCTCTACCGCAAAGCCTGTTGAACTCCGAAGCAGAGAGGAGGAGGGCAGGTAGTGGAGCACCCATAGGGGGATACATCTCAAAGAACCAGAGTTATTGCACAGGGTGAGTCTCCTTCTTTGAGTAGTGTCCCTTTGTGTGCTCCACTCTAGGTGACTATCGAGCAGTACCATCTACGGAGGGGTGGGGCTTCAGAGTCAAGTCAAAGATTGAAGGTAGAACAGTAGAACCAAATATGGCATGAGAAACTGAGGCATGTGCGACTGCACGGGGGTCAGCAAATGAACGAATGAATGAATGTTCAAGTCGCAGCTGTACATATTTCTGTGACTGGGAACGTTCTTAAGAAAGCCTGTAGAGAGGGATCTCATGGAGTGACAGCGTAGAAGGGAGCAGGTGGCCATAGGTTCAAAGGGAGGCCTTGTAAGACATCTGAGTACCAAGTTGAGGTACCATGCCAGTGGAGGGCATCTGATTAGTGGGATGATGTTGTCCAGTCCCTTGAGAAACTTCCTCATTGTAGAATGAACAAAGATGGAAAAACCCTCTACCATATGATGGAAGGCCATAATAGCGGCCAAACGCATGTTTATGGAGTTTAAAGATAATCCTCTCATTTTTAGCTCTAAGATGTAATCTAGTACAAATGATAAGAGAGAAGATGGAGGTGAAAGATGTTTTTATGTCACACCAGTGTTTGAATCTCATCCACTTTTGAGTATATGCGTCACAAGTAGATCGTTTCCTGCTATGTAACAGCACTCTCTTTACATCCTCAGAACGGGTTGTTTCTAACCCTGCAAACCATCTAGCACAGAGGTGGGCAAACTTTTTGGCCCAAGGGCCACATCTGGGTGGGGAAATTGTATGCAGGGCCATGAATGTAGGGCTGGGGCAGAGGGTTGGGGTGAAGGAGGGGGTTCAGGGCAGGGGGTTGGGGTGCAGGAGGGGTGAGGTGGGGGCTCAGGGCAGGGCACTGGGGTGCAGGAGAGGTACAGCAAGGGGCTCAAGGGAGAAGGTTAGGGGGTTCAGCGGTGCAGGAGGGGTGCGGCAAGGGGCTCAAGGGAGGGGGTATGGGGCTTAGAGCAGGGGGTGCGGGGTGCAGGAGGGATGCGGCAGGGGATGGGATGCGGGGTGCAGGAGGAGTTCGGGGTGTGGGCTCCGACCTGGCGCTGCTTACCTCAAGTGGCTCCGGGGTGGCAGTGGTGCGCAGCTGGGCTAAGGCAGGCTCCCTGCCTGCTCTGGCCACATGCCGCTCCCAGAAGCGGGCAACATGTCCGACAGTGGCTCCTGGGGATGGGGTGGGGCAGGTGGCTCGTTTGTGCGCTGCTCTCACCTGTGGGTACCACCCCCGAAGCTCCCATTGGTGCCGGGAGCGGCGCGGGGCCAGGGCAGGCAGGGATCCTGCCTTAGTCTTGCTGCACCATGGGGCTGGCAATTCTGCGGGCCGTAGCTTGCCCTCCCCATGCCATGCCTTGATCAAAAGAACCCCAAGCTTGGGGTGATGGATTTGACCAGCATCCTGAGAGAGAAGATGGAGGACAGTCTGGAGAGTGATCAATTGACAAGCAGTGAGCTGATACAGGTAAGGAAACTATGTTTGTCTTGACCATGTCTGAACAAAGAGAATAACTTTGGCTTTAGCTTTCCTTATCGTGAACAGCACTTTGGATATGAAGGAAGTCGGGGAAAATGCATACAGAAGGCTTGACTCTAACGAAGGAGAAAGGCATCTCCCAGGGAGCGGTGATCCAGACTTCAAGAGCTTCTTGTCCTTGGCTGGGGAGAACAGGTCTATCTGTGGGATGCCCCAACACTAAAATATGCGGTGGAGTATAGTGGGATCTATCTCCCATTCATGATCTTACGAGAGGTGTCTGCTGAGAGCATCCACTGCATTGTTTTGTATGCCCAGAAGGTAAGCTGCTGAAATGTTGATTTAGTTTCATATGCACCAATTTGGTGCAAAAGGAAGACAATCTTGCTCCCCCTGGACAGTTTATGTAAAACATGTATGACATATCGTCCATCATGATCTTTAGGCATTTGCCCCGTCAGCGGGAGGAAATGGATACAGGCATTTCTGATGGCTTTGAGTTCCAGCAAGTTGAGGTGAAGGGTGGACTCGAGAGGAGACCACCTGCCTTGAATAGTGTGAGCAGAATCTAGGTGAGCTCCCCATCCCAGTAGGGTACATCCATTATTATTTCTGATGTTGGAGATGGCTGAGCAAAGGGGATCCATGAACAAACATTATGTGGGTTCTTCCACTAGTTGAGGGATTTTTTTTCTCCTGCCAAAGGCATGGAGAGTTGTTTGCTTGATGAATCAACACTTCTGAGCCAGCCCTTGGAGGCAGTGCATGTGAAGACTTGCATGATTTATTATGAAGTGCCAGCTGCCATATGTCCGAATAACTGGAGATAATTTTTGGCTGATATTTCAGGGCTGACTTGGACTACAGTGCCTAAATTGGTTATGGACCTGTGTGAAGGGAGGAATGCATTGGCCGTTACAGCATCAAAGCAAGCTCCTATGAACTCCAGAGTTTGCACCAGAGTTAGGGTGGAATTTCGGATGTTTAATTGTAGTCCCAGTCTGAGAAACAGGTCTATGGCCCTCTGAGTGGCTGTTGAAGCACTGTTAAAAAACCGCTCTTTGAACAGGCGATCGTCAAGGTGGGGGGAGGGGGAGAATCACAGTTCCTCATCTGTGAAGATGAGCCGCTACCACCGAAAGAACTTTTGAGAACACTCTGGGTGCAGACCAGAGACCGAACAGGAGCACCATGTGAAAGTGCTCTTGATCCAGAGTGAAGTGTAGGAAACTTCTGCGCTGTGGTGGATCGCTATATGGAAGTAAGCATCTTCAAGGTCGAAAGCCAAGAACCAATCACCAATCAATGACGGAATTATTGCTGCAAGAGTTACCATTTTGAACCTCTGAATCTTTACAATCTGTTGAGAAATCTTAGATCTAGAATAGGTCTCAACCACCTTTCTTTTTTGGAGCCATGAAGTACCTGGAATAAAATCCTTTCCCTCTGTGTTGCATGGGAACTGGTTCTATAGCACCCAGATTTAGGAGAGTGTCAATTTCATGTTGCAAAAAGTGCTTGTGAGAGGGGTCCCTGAAGAGGCACGGGGAACTCAGATACTGCTGAGACTCCACCTCAGGTCGAGGCAGCTGAGAAAGACTTGAGGGCGGTTTGCCCACGCAGCTCTATATAGCCACAGTGCAGGGCACGAGGCTGCAGGGGTTGCATGCATGAGCCAAATGGACATTGCTACCTAAAATCTCCAATCTGAAACATGTGGGGCACAAACGCACCTAGAGTTGAACACCTCTCGGGACACTACTTGAAGAAGTCCTTCTTAAGAGGGTTGCAACCTTTGGCAACTCCCTTTAGCAAGCCAAGTAGTCAAAGACAGCATGGAATGGAGAATTCCAGTCCCACCCCCCCTTTTTTTCTTCTGTGCCTCTATCACTCTTTTTAAAAGCTATTAAAGGCACTAAAGAGAACTTCATACTGCTGTCAAGCCTGCTCTGTGATAGTTTGTACCACTGCCACACACAGTCTCCTCTCTCTTACATTTGGCATTTTTCACGGACTGACAGCAAGTGCTGACTGTGGCAGAGTAGATTCAGCAGTGCCATGCTGGAGCTGTTCAAAGCAGATCAATACCGGTAGGGGCAATACTAGGAGGAAAGTGACTTCCCCCAACTTAGATGCTTCTTCTAGATAGGTTCTTCCTCCATTCAAGTCTATCTTTTTATTGCTAATAACTTATCTTTAATTGCATTGAGTTAAAACTTCTGGGTGACAACCCTCCCATTGAATAGCAGGTTTAAACTAGTCTCATTTTTCACAAGAAAATGCAAAGGTTTCTTCAGGGAAAAGAAAACAAAAAATAGTAAATGAAAGGTGTGTCACAGCCACATCCGTCTTGACAGCTGCAGCATAGTTTCAGTGCAGCTAATACTGTCTCCAGTCTATACATTTCATAAACTGAAATATTGCTTTATGTATTTGTTAAAAATCTAAGTAGTAAAAACCCAAAGTAATAAAACTAAAGTACTCTGTTCCATGCTGTCATTTTCTGGATTTTGACAATTTTAAGAGGTGTGTCAATATTTCATTCTATTGCAAGTAGTAATATTCTTTTTGAAATTTCTAGTGATAAGAAACTATATAAAATTATACATCAAGGACATCTGAGTTTATTATGTTTACTAGTCAGGAAAGAGTTTTAAAATAGTATTTAAACTAAATAAAATGTCAGTGATTAATGTTTCTTCAAGTAATTCAATGGTGTACTTTTCCACCTGTGTTTCTCCCATACTTGTATTCACATGCCAACATTTCAGTAATTCAGGTATATTTTGCCTAAGTAACACATTAATAAATTGGTACTTAATTTTACTTACCAATAGCTTTGGTATAATGCCTTGCTCCAAGAAGTAATTCTGGAGCTCGATACCAGAATGTTACAACGACTGGATCCAAGTCTGCTAAAGGCTTCAGAGGTGAATTAAATAATCTGGCAAAGCCCATATCAGCTGCAAAATTTAAAAAAAAAAGCTTTAAAAAGTTAAGGAAACTTCACATTGATCAAATGAAATGATTGAGCTCATTTGTTAGATCTACCAAAATTGTGCTAAAAAGCAAACACACTGTAGTAAATATGAATCCTGATAGTCTAACTTTACCATTTCCTTATAGTTTATGTTGCAATTATTCAGCATCATCACCTATGAAGTATATCATTATAAATCATTACTAAAGAAAGCCATTTAGAATCAAGAATTTACCACTGTTCTGAAAAAAGCATGTCAACTCGTGTAGCTCTCAGAACACTGGGTAAGTCCTTACTGGCTAGCCAGGGGGTCAGTTTTCTGTCTGGTGGAATATTCTATTATCACAGGGCTGTTTGTTCAGGAAACATTAAAGGGGGGGAAATGGGTGAAATAGTAATTCTGTAAATGTTAGAATGATTTATAATACATACACGTATGACACAAGAACTACCTATGAAAAGCTGGTTGCAATTGAAGCAGGGTTTCCTTCACGCCCCAAACAAGAGGTGATTCCAATCATGAGGGTATCTTCTTCCCTGAATGCCTCCTCTCAATTTAAATTGGTCACAAAGTATCACCAGTACCAAGATGAAACCATTTAAGCTATGCTTTTAAAATGTCTTCCATTTTGGGGAAATTTCCCTTTACTAATAAAACCTTAAGAAAAATATTCTGTCTAAACTGCTTGTTGGGATTTGTAATCTACAGTTTCTCACAGAGCTATCTGAACTGACCAGAATTTAGATGGTATAGGACAAGATGGACAGAGGATTGAGAAGTGGGTATTCCCACTAAATCAGGTTTTCGAAGTCCCAAACACCGAAGAATTTGGTATGGTGGAGTGGGAGCCTATATATACTGAGTAGGACTGGGGAGGAGTGTGAGGCCTATAGCAGTTTTGAGAGAGAAGGGGTTAAACCCATGCCACATGTAATAACTCAGCTAATGAGGAAAACTTGCAGAGTAAATACTCATATCTAATTTTGCTCCACAATCTAAAGTAACTATTTGCCTCTATGTGCCTCCCTACTTTAAATTATTTTATTGCATTTAAAAAGAGACATTTTATAATTTTCTATATTAAAAATCAAGATAACCCATGATATGAAGAATTCATAGATATCTATGAAAAAAATGTGGAAAAATATCCAGTAAAAAGTGGAGTCAAAATAGCATAAAAAGCCTATAAAGCTTATTTTATGTTAAATATACCAGTTATGTGTTTTTTTAAAAAGTATTAATACTAGAAGAGCGGAAGCCCTTGGTATGGGGATACGTATGCATTCTTTTCCTACTGTTGCAAAAACATATTAAAAATTGCAATTTTTTCAAACTGATAACACACCTAGAAATAAAGGCTTTTCTACTGTTGGGACTGGATGGCTCAGAGGACTGGTGGGCGGATGCAGAATCTTTCACCTGTCCATCAGCAATGTCTGACCAAATTTAGTAGAAATCTCAAGTTATTACCAAATGACTTCCGAAATAAGTTGGTGGTCTGTGAACAAATACTAATGGATAATTGTCTACATCACAAAAATCACCAACACAATTGACACTGAATGTGCCTGGAGACTGACCTACACGCTCACTCTTGGAAGTGCATGCTCCATGAAGATTAAGGTAATGGGAAGAAATGTTCACTTCTGCTGTCCATGCTGTTTTGCAGATAGAAGACCTTGGTCTCTATCATCAATCTTACACCTCTAAAGGGTGCTAAAATTTTAAAGGGTGGGATTTTCTGACATGATCAGCACTGATCTAATTCTACTCCTACTGAAGTCAATTCCCATTGACCTCAATGGGAGCAGAGTTAGGGCAGTGCCGAACACCTCAGGGAAATTCCACTCTTGATTAGCAAATTAGTGATTAACAGTTGGTGTTTCAGATAAACAAAAACACCAAAGAATACAGAGTGACATTGTGGAAGAATCATCTCATAAAAGAAAAAGTCAGAGGGAAATGAAAAACAATCTGTTTAAAAAAAAATTCTGCCAAACTGGACTGCCTGACTATATTAGTATAACAATACAGGGTGTGCATTAGAAAGCTATTGGTGCATCAATGATGAACTAGTGCATGCCACGGTGTGGCTCATTATTGTTAGACTATGGTTAGATTATTTTTAGTTACTTTTTAAAATAGACTTTATAGAACGATTTGGAGATTCTGCAAATTATCCTTTCACTGAGAAAAGTGGTTCACACCAGAAGATAAAATAGTGGGAAAGTTTCAGTTTCTTCCCCCCACCCTACTTGCCCCTCACCATTTTGAATATATTTAGTGTTAGTTCTTACCAAATGTCTCTCTCTTAATCAACATTTTCTGCACTTTTTAAGTCTCCTTTTGCTTCCTGTGTCTCCCAGAAATCTGGCTACCCTTTCAAGGGCAGTTCGTAAATCAACAGTCACTCTCACTTTTATTATAAAATTTAATATTCGGAATAATGAACAGTTCCCTATTTAGATTTTATAATACGGAGCAAGTTAGTGTCTTGGCACTTTGGTGGTAAAAATAGGTCATTTAAAATCTCACTTATTTTCCTTCACTCTTCCAAGCTGACCATTATCTTTGTCCCATATTAATCCCCCTCCCAGCACGCACCCATATAATATAATGGCATAGGGATTTTTTCCCCCCCTTTTCATTGATGAGGCTGTAGCTGTGCACCATTGGGAATTGGTGCACAGGTCTGATATCAAAAAGCCAGTCACTCAAAATAGCTTTTGATAAAGTTTCCAGACACATACTAATATTATTTTAAGTAGCTATCTTAAGTGATGCAACTGCACCTTCAGAACATTCTAACTTAAATGCTACACTGGGACTTATCAAAGATATAACATACCAATTTTTACTCTTCCTCGCTCAGGACCTTCACCCATAACTAAAATATTAGCAGGTTTCTGTGGAAAAAAAATAAATATACAATACATATACCAAGATAAACCTAAATAACATTTGTCTCTGAAACAATACATTAGCTTTGTTTCACCAGTTTTAAACCAAATGCGGCATGATAACGTCATAGATGTTTACTTTGTGATAAAGCTGTGGAAGTATCCAAAACACAGGCTTTCCTTTGCTACCTCTCCCTCTCAGGTTTTCCCTCACAATCTCTTTTTTCCAGGGCCTTTTAAATTATGCTCCCCAGACTAACTGCCATTGTGGTGTCTTTCTTCCACCCGCAACAGCAAGCAAGCAAGCAAGCAAGCGCCTTCAAGACTTCCAGCAACATCACTCTATGAACTGGTCAGCTCACCAGGGTGCACATCTGGTACTTCACTGCCTGTTCCCCATCCCACTTAAAAAACAACAAAGAACCCGGGTGTAAGATGTCATCTCTGCAACATATGTTTGGCCAAGGGTCATTAGGCACATCTTCAGACATACATTTTACATTAACAAGAAAAATCTCAAAATACAGGTTGAATATCAGTCACTATATAAATATATATTCTACATAAAATCTACATAACCCATCTAAATTTACTATCCCAGATTGATATGGTAGACTAATTCAGCCAGCTTTAAGACTTAAAATAAAAGCATATCCTTAAAACTATTGCTAAATTCTTCTCTCACTGCTATAATGGCTACCAAATATTAAGAAGTAGGACTCTTCTCTTCCTTTTCTCTATACCAAGGAAATGAATTAAAACATTATACTACAAAAGTAGCGTAGTCGAGCGTAAACTCAGTGTACCTGAGTCTACCCACTTCTAATTTGGGAAATAGAGAGTTAAGTTTAGGTTAGTTTACTCACGGTTTTGTTTTTTTTACACCACTGATAACAGACCTATAGGCACATCTACACTTCACTCTCCTTCTGGTGGCATGCAGAGTACATACTCTGCACACAGCCCTTGCATGGGTATAAGCAGCAGTGTAGGTGGTGAGGAACTGCTTAGGTGAGTAAAGATACACCTGAACAAAAGTGGGTATGAACCCTACATGCTCAAGCAGTGCTATCCCATCTAGACTGCTATTTTTAACAGGGAAAGACTCCAGCAGCTCCACACAGCCAGGTCCCTTCCACAGCCTTTCACTGATGTGTGTAGCTACACACCACACTGTAGAAGCAGCCTGCTATTCACTATGGTGTGTAGTTACACATACCCTATATGCTGCCACTAATGGTGTGAAGTTAGATTACTCCCGGGGGAATTCTGTACCATTGCGCTCGCGCAGAATTCATGTCCCCCATAGATATTTTTTCTCTCTCCAGAGCTGGAACTGCAGTTACATTTTTTGCCCACCAGGGGCTGCTGTGACAGCAGAAAAGAGAACAGCCAGCTCTCAGAGAGGATTCATCCCTCACAGAAGGGCCAGATAGAGGCGGCATGGGACAGAGAGAGGGGCACACTGGGCTACTGGGGGTCATAGACCGGGATTCAGAAGGGCTAGTGGGGGGGGGGAACAGACTGGGGTGCGGGCTCAAGTGCTGAATGGGGGGGAGGGGCTGCAGAGCCATATGGGGATGGGGGAGGAGGGGCTGCAAGGACACACTGGGACAGGGGCAGATGTGTCTTACTGAATGTGAAAGGCTAGGAGTCTGCCCCGGTCTGCATAGGGGAGGCTCCCAAACTCTAACAATTCCCCTGCCCCCAAAAAACCTGTTCCATTCTTCTCCCACCCACAACCAATAACCCTCCAGGTTCACTCACAGGATCCTTCCCAATAATTGCTTCCCTCACCCTGAGCTCCTCCGTTACCCCTGACTCCCTCAAGCCTTGCAGTGCTCCTGAAGGGTGCTGGGAAATAAGTTTCCGTATTGTAGTTTAAATGAATTATTACTAGAGCTGCCAATTAATTCCCCCAGGAGTACTAGATGTAGCCACAGAATTGGGCTGCTCATCATTATGACCCTTCAATTCTTAATCCCGCTAGTTTTTTCCTGTCTCTGCCACCATTTTCTCAGGTCTTCATAAGAACAATGTGTTTTATAAACTAGCCTCTGCCTTGCAATCAGATGGGCACAGATTCCTCAAATGCTAACATTTTTTGTGGGTGAATCAAAGCTGCATTAAAATAAAAAACGTGTTACACGATTTGAGAAAAATCCCAAAAACATAAAGACTTAATGGGGTCCCTTAATAGTGGGTGATTTTATATAAGCACTTAAACTGCAATACTTAGCCAAAAGGTGGTAAATAAAACAGTTAGAGCTCTCGCTTTGAATTTCCTGATTTAAGCCACTGCAAAGAGGACAATTATTAGTTATTTTGCTACTTTTCCCCCCACCTACACCAAAAAGGAAATCTTAGCTGTATAAGAATTAATATGGTTGTTCCCAATAGCTCTGAAGAAGGGACTACAATTTATCACATAAACATGCTTTTAGGCACATTTTAAAATTTTTGTTATTGAGAATATTGGATCTATCACACTATTGTGTAAAAACATATTTATGATTTTTAAATGATTTTTTAGCAGCAGTTCATAAAATATTAGGATAATATAAAATAAGGCACATTAAAAATATAAGTACCTCAAGGCTATTTATTTGCACGAGTAATAATTATTTCCTATAAAAGGCTCTAACAAGGCTTTATTAGTGTAACTGCATAGTAATCATGCATGCAAGGTATCAGCATACTGCAGGAATGAGTGATTACATCTTTTTTTCTACAAAAAGAACAGGAGTACTTGTGGCACCTTAGAGACTAACAGATTTATTAGAGCATAAGCTTTCGTGGACTACAGTCCACTTCTTCGGACAAGTTAAAAAAGAAGAGGTTCTTTGAGGAGTGTAATAAAGCTGTAAATTTTCAATGAGGTGAGGTATGTTCCATTACCTTTCTAACAGCAAGAAAAACTTCTACACTATAAATCACCTAGTGCTATACTGGTATAATAATATGCAGAAAAACTTGTATAAGGAGAATGTATGTGGGTTACATTACTGCAATGTGTAAGTACCTCAAAAAGGAGTATTAAACACTGCTGAATTTTTTTTTTCAAACTATAGTCCTGGAACTTTAAAATCATCCCATCATGCATTTCTGTGGATCATTGATCAGAGCTTGTGTGTTAAGACTGGGTAAGCGTAAAGCCATGTCTGCACCTGAAAGTTTTACTGTCAAAAGTTCTGTCTGCACACTGTTATCACCATAGCTACTTCAGTGGAGTGCATTTATATTTGGTTGCCTTTGCCATGTAGCATGTCCTTACAGCATCAGGTTGTATCAGCAGAAGATATGTGACACTGTAGGAAGGCATCCTGATGTCCTCTATGCCACCATCTGGCACATTACCTTGTAAGAAATGTTTGTACTGTATTGTGAGATATCATCACTCCTATCAGTGAACTGTAGAAGTTTGGGATCAAATTCCCATATATCTCTCGGTTCCATCCCATACACTACCCTTTCATGCCATTTTCCATCTCATCACATGAATGCACAGATCACTGCAGTTCTCTTGTCCATTTAAAGGGCAGGACAAATCATTCTTGTGCAAAATCGTAACAGCCAGACATATAGCAGGGATATACTGAGGATGAGTGGATGATAGATAACAAATGAAGCTGACCAACTGCTGCAGGAAATCACGGAGAAACCGTACATGGTGGAGCAGCAGTTTTGGGTCTGTACAACAAGAATCAAGTGGTGAGATTACATCACAATGCAAATTTGGGAACATCAGTAGTGGCTTTAGAACTTTCGGATGCAGACGGCTACTTTTCTGGAGTTGTGTGCCAAATTCACCCCAGCCATGCAGTGCACAGACACCACGATGAAAGCTGCTTTTACAATGGAGAAATGGGTGTCAATCACCACCTGTAAACTTGCAACCCCAGATTGTTATCAATTGGTGGGCAATCTGTTTGGTATTGGAGAGTTTACGGTAGGGGCCCTCCATCATCCAGATGTGCAAGACAGTTAAATTCACAGGACTGAATACCAAGGATTGCAGGGAGTGGATAGTGGTAGATCTCTGGTCTTCATCTTCCACATCTAAATTTGACCATATCTCCAGAATATTAAGAAGCATCCAATCACAGCTGAATAGTTAATGTTGAGTTCAGTTTTGCATTAAAGCTAGGATTTAGCCACTTTGTTATGTATAAAGAATACAGCATCTATCCTTCCCAAAGTTTTAACACTTAGTGAGTATATGATTTTTTTTTCAGAATTTACGAGTACATTAATAAGTCTGAGTGAATGATTTTAGAATGGATCACTTAAGAAATTGAACACCAGATGTCAGACCATTTTCCCCTTTCCCCACCCACCCACAAATAATCCCAGGTAAAGTATTTGCACAAAAACTGGCAAAGAGGTGAAACTTCAGTAAATTTGGTACAATGGGCAGTTTTTAATATAATTTTAAGATTATGGTTAATTTTTCAATTTAATGATCAATTTTTCCATAGTTCATCACAAGTGAAAGTTTCTCCCTCAGCAAAAGGTAAAGATAGGCCTTCAGAGAAACTCATAAGGAATTACCCCTCTTTCAAAATGACTACCATCTTCCGTTGTTCTCAACGGAACTCAGACCATGAACTGCCTTTAAGTAAAGATGGCCACTGCCTCCATTCAGTAACTGCTCATAATGCTCATCTCTGCTACCTAGTACACAAGGGGCATCTTCTCCAATGACAGTTTTGTTTCCCCCTGATTGGGAACAATGTGAAGTAGTTGCCATCTTCCAGCCTGCAGCTTCAGTCCCATTGAGAACAATGGCAGATGGACACTCAAAAAGGGCAATTCTTTGTGGATTTCTTTGAAAGAGAAGATTTTATGTGCTAGCCTCTGCTGACAGAGAAACTTTCAGTCATGAAGAACAGAAAAACACCATTAATCCTAAATATTTATTTTCATAAACTCCCCATTGCACCTGATCTACTAAACACAGAGGGCAAGGGGAAGAGAACCGGTTTGTAAATGCAGGCACGTGGTAG